TCTTGGGACAGCTGTTCAAACATTATTGACAATAGCTTTCTGGTCACTGCCTGTCCTTCGCATTTTGATACTCAGAGCCACTGATATGGTGGTTCATAATATTTTGCTGCAATTAATCACACAAGGGGTGGGAAAAACCGTGATGCTATTTACTACAAATAAGAATTTGCATAGAAAAGTCAGGAATGACCAATTAATAGAAAGATTTAAGAAAGCTTGGCTGTTCTAGCTCAAATTCATGAGGAGTCACAATTTTGTCCTCCTAAATGTAAATCAGTGATGAGAGAAATGGAAAAAGGGCTTGTGGTTGGGGTACCTGACTTGTCAGCAGTGAGAACCCCGACTGAGATGCAATGTCATCTCAGTTGTCTTACCCGACATGCTCTCAACGTTAACCGTGAACTTTCATTCTGTGTATTTCAGTCGTACTTTCTTAAGCAACTTCGCATCAACTTCTCTGGGGAAAATATTTTCCGTTGAAAATGCAGAGCAGATTTAAAAGATTTTGAGTGAATTTGGGTTTATGTTGGAGATAGAGACACAAAACTCATCAAAACTCAGTTTGTCTTCTTTTTCTTTTCTCAGGAGTGAGGAGAGTGATCTAGGGGAAATATTGAATACCTCCTAATGTTTTCTTTTCTCTCTTGCTTGAAGCCACCATTCACCCCCCTCACATATGGCTGAACTATATATGCAACTAGCCTGGAGAGTAACTGAGAGGACCAAAGCCCATAGGGTCCTTTGGCTTTTGTGAGCAGTCAGGACCATTTCCACCAAGACTAACCACCTTTGTGGCTGCCGTGCAACCCTCCTCAGACGGGGAGAACTTAGCTTCAAAGTCTTCAGGGATGGCCTGCTTACCCAACTCTGTTTGTTTTGGAGAAGGGTGGAAGTGAGAAGTTTGCGTTTGAGCCGACTATAATTAATTCCTGCAGTAAGCCCAAACCACATGTTAGGTACCTCATCTTCTGTCTTCCGTTTTCATGCTTCACTTTAGCTACTTACCTGAGACGGGCAGACTGGTTGTGTCTCCACAGGGCAGAGGAGCCCTGAAGGGAAGACCCAAGACCCGAGCTTTGTCGGCCACGTTCTTAGGCTCATTTGCAGTGTGATTTGGTAATAAGAGCAGATTCTGTTCAGTAGCAGTAACAGGAAAGACCACAGTGCCTTTTCTGTACATTAACCTTTTTGATCTTGAGTCCAACCACACACACACACACAGGGAAGCAGGGCTGCCATCATCATCCCCTCCTATGATGTAGGAAATAGACTTTTCTGAGCCTAGGAATTGAATGGCTTTTCTGCTTTCAGCACTGAGCTATGAAACTGTTAGGAATATAAGAAGAGCAGGCGACCTGGTCCCAGCTCTTCCCACAGGAGCTCTCCATCTAATTGGAGAGTCAGGATCATTATTCAGAAAGCACTTTCCCGGTGATCAACAGCCTGACACACGAGGTTACATACATGCTAAGTGGCTTGGAGGAGACCATAAGGGACAGTGCCCAGGGAGAGAGACTGCACGAGGACAGAGCAGCTGAAGCCTTCACTGAAGACCTGAACTGTGTTTTGAAGGCTGGGCAAGACTTTCATGAGTAGAGGAAGTGGGAGGGAACGCAGCCGGGTGCCTGATAGGACAGAAGACAGATGTCCCATTACACACCCTGCGTGAGATGGAGAGAGGACCAGATTGTCCAGACCAAATGCTGGGGAAGGAATCATGGCGAGACAGGACGTCCTTGGTTCTTAAGTCTGGGAACAGGTCTGAGCGTCTTATTCTCTCCCCATCTCACGGTGGACTGTGTGGGGACACGGCCTGGTGTGCGGCACTGTCCTGCCAGCACTGCGGAACCTGAATGTGAGATTTTCCATTTGCAGCCTCGTTGCAGTTAGGGACCTGAGTCTAGTTTCTATTCAGCTGATTGACACCCGTGGGTGGGCTCTGGAACCTAAGCGAGGTGTGGGCTCCGCCTGGCTGCTCTGGCAGGCACAGTTGTGGGGGGTGTCTGTTCGGCAGAGGGCCCAAGACTAACCAGTGGCTGGGAGAGAGTGACTACGTGGGCTCTAGGGCATCTGTTTACTGCAGCGGACTGCAACAGTGTGGTTCAGGTACGGAACCAGGAGAGAAGTTATGGTCTCAGGGCTGATGGAGGCAGAAAAGAGGTCAGATCCAGGCCACCACGGAAGCTTCCAAGTCGGAGGAGAGGCCGCAGCTTCCTCGGTGGCCCAGCTCTGAGGTGTGGCTTTAGGAGTCATTGCTGAACCTCGAGTGTGTTTCCTCACCTCTTACATCATGCTGCAAGCTGCTGAAAATCTTGTAATAAATCTCTTCCTGCTAAAACTAAGCTACAGTGGATTTGTTCTCTGCAGCTGAACCCTGCTGAGGCAGCCTAACCCTTGTCTTACACATGAGGAGCAGTAGTGAGTATTTTCAGCAACTGGGGACAAATAGAGTCATACACGAAGCCTGTTGCTCCCCTTGGAAAAGAGAGGCCAGTTTTACTACGAGAGCTTCTAACTGAATTCATTACAGGAGCCGAGGCCCACCAAGGCTCGGCCAGAACCCCAGCTTGCCAGGCGGCCTGTGGGGCATACAGCCAGGAGCTGCTGTGGCGTCTGCTCTGCAACTCTCCCGCTCTTGGGTTCTCAGAGCTGCCTTAGTGCCAGGATAATTCCATACTTCCCAGAAGGCAATCTCTTCGGAGAGAGGGAAAATGAATCTCCAACTGATAATTAATCATATCTTTTGCATCTAATTTAATCACGGAAGAAGTAAAGTTCTCCCCTCTTTCATGACCGAAGCATAGGTTGCTCTGTCTGGGTTTCTGTGGGGTGTAGACAGAAGGCGGATGTCTGGTGTCCTTCCTCCATGGGACCCAGCAAATGAGCCTCCAGCCCCGTGAAGAAGAGAAGAGAAGAGAACCCCAGGGCAGGCAAGTTTGTCCTCTCTTGTCCCCACTGGCCTTGGGCATGTGCATGCCGTTTTCACACACACGCCCTGGCCCATGGTATTACTAAACGTGTGAGCAATGGGTCTGACGAGGAAACCACGCCACTCAACAGTCCGCAGTGTGGGGAGCACGATCGCGTCTTCGAGCGTTTGCTGGGCGGCTCCACGATGGCTCTCCCTTTCTGCACAGTGGGTCTCAGCTTTTGCAGAACTCGCAACACGTTCAGCTCTCCTTGCCACAGACACTGCCCTAGTGGCGACCTCATTAGCTCTCCTGGCCTGGACTATTGCCATGGTCCCTCACTCTCTCCGGCCTCCTGGCTGGCCCTGTGTCAAGCACAGGGTTAATCACGCCACTCCCCTGCTGACGGTCTTCAGAGCCTCGGCGCCGCCTGCGAGGTGCTCCTCCATACGACCCCAGCCTGTCATCTCCATCTTCCCTCCACTATGCCCTCCACCCGTGTGAACACCTGTTCACCCTACTTGGGCTGCTAACATGCCTTGCTGACGCGCCTGCCCTCCGCCTGCCTACAGGAACGCTCCCCACAGTCACATCTTCAAGACCCAACTCAAATATTCCCGCTTTTCCAAAGCCTCGAGACCTCCCCAGACAGACTCCATTTTCTCCTCCCTCTGCTCCATAGCACCTTGTTCCTACCTCCGTTATAATGGATTTTTGCTGCTTTGAAGAGCTGTCCCCTGTGAGGGGTCTCCGCGCTCAGGCTGTAAGCTCGTGGAGTCAGGGCGCTTGTCTGCCTTCGGGTCTCTTGCAAAGTGCCTCCCAAGAAATAAGGGTGTTGATAGAAGTGAGCGGCAAAAGAGAGAAACCACAACAAGCCAAAGCAAACTGAAACAGAAAACTCTAGTCAGCAGTCAGGAGCAAGGAGAGAAAGTTGGGGGCAACTTTCATCTTAATTTTTTAAAACTAATTTTTTGTCCTGTTTTTGTTTGTTTGTTTGTTTTTCAAACAGTGGCATTCCATAATCGAAAAATCTACCTCACCTCACCAAATAGTGATTTCTTAGTTTTAGGGTTTGAGTCGTGATTGCCAGCCTGTCTGTTCTCCACACTATGACAGGAGCCCTCAGCTGCAATGTCGCAGTCGCTCTGTGCTCTTTGGGGCCCACCCATTGGGAAGTGGGCAACCTCCAGAGCTGCTCTTTGCTCTGTGAGCTTGGCTCCCAGGGTTTCCAATCTTTGCTAAGCATTAAATAAAAGCCCTGTGGAGCTTTAAAAACCCTTGAAGTTGCAGGGGTGGGAGCCAGGCACCAGTATTTTTAAGACCTCCACGTAATTCTATTGTGCAGCAAAGCTCAGGGCCACTGGGGCCTTGGCCTGATGGCAGAAACTTGGCTGGGGTCGCCTGTATGAAATCAGAAGTGTGAACAGTGGACTCGGACCCAGGCCCTCCTCTTGGGAGCTGGCTTTTCAAGAGGTCAGAGAGCCCTGCAGGGGCCCTGGCACCTGTCGCTGGGAGGGCCAAGGGCCAAGCTGCCCATGTGCACTTTGGTCAGCGCTGGCAGGAGGCTCCGGGGCTCACGTGGGGGGAGGGGACCCCGTGAGAACAGACTCGCTGTGGGGAGAGGGGCACTGAGCTCAGCCGCAGGCGTCCTCGGGCACAGGCTCCTTCTCTGCGTGCTGGGATCATCCCACGTGCTGCTAGGAAAACATCAAGCTGTCCAGTGTCGCGTGGTTTCCCGATCTTTGCGTCTCGGGTAATTAAGATAAGCAGAAGGTAAATCCATGAATATTTTCAAGTAACGTGCCAAGAATGAGGGATTCCAAAGTTAATAATAAATAGTTACTGCCCTTGAGAATTTCCTAGATTAACAGGGCAGTAGGAACATGCAAATAAGTAGTAACACAATGTGATAATTCCATTGGAAAAACTGGTACGTTACAAGCTCAAGTAGCGGTAAGACCAAGCTCTGGCGTAGTAACGGCTCCCTGAGATGAACCCAGAAGGCGCCGAGCTCCTCACGCGGGTGCGTTCCCGGCCCCGTGCCCCTGCTCACCCTGCCGCGAGGGAGTTGCAGTTAAAGGTTCCAGGACTCGCTGAAGTCTCCCAGCGAGAGCCAGGCCGAGCCCCACCGGCTCCCCCAACAGGGCTCCCCGCTGCCCTCCCTGCAGCGCTGGCTCGGAGCTGAGAGGGAGCGAGTCAGCTGAGGGCTCGCGGGGAGTTCCCGGAGGCGAGCCTGGGTGGGGTAAAGGAGCCCCTGGGAGAAGGACGGTCTCGGGAAGAAAGGCAGTGAGGGTGGGGATTGCGTCTGTCTCATTCACTGCTGAGTCCACTGCAGTGGGCGGTGGACGTGCAGTGGGCGATTAAATGGACAGGATCCACGGATCCATGAGGCAGTGAGGAGGTGTTAAAAAATGCAAGTAGCTCTGTGTAGCTGGGGTTCAAGCTCAGGGGATGCCTGGTTCCAGATGCAGCTGGAGAAGCAGGTAAGGCCCACATCGTTGCTGGCCTGTGTGGACCTTAAACAGTGCTGGCTTGGCAGTGGCCTGGGATTGGCAGGTTCAGATCCCGGGCATGGACCTAACAATGCTCACCAAACCACACTATGGCAGCATCCCGCATAAAATAGAGGAAGATTGGCATAGATGTTAACTCAGCAACAAGCTTCCTTGAGCAAAAAGAGGAAGATTGACAACAAATGTTAGCTGAGGGCCAATCTTCCTCACAAAAATAATTTTTTAAAAAAGTGTTGGCTTTGTCCTATAGGTGACTGACTCCACTGAGGGGTTTAAAGTAGAGGGTGACATGGCCATTTCGGCTAGCTTTATGGATAGATCACCTTGATATCTGGATGGACTTAAGGAAAGCAAAATAGGGGACAGGTGACTAGCAGGAAGACTCCTGGAGTGCTGTGGGCCTGAACTGAGGCAGGCACGGGGCATGAGCTGGGGGACACTCGTGTCAGTTGAAGGAAGGGGCTTTGTCTTGCCGATTGTTGGGCCTTTAATCCGGCACATGGAAGGGGAGTGCTTTGGAGGTGAAATGACAGGACTGATGACTAGATGTGGAAGGATGAAGAAAAAATGAGAACCAAGGACGACTCAGATTCTTGGCTTGAACAACTCGGTGGATGGTGAAAGTATTTACCCAGATGAGGAAGACTGAGGTGGAGGAAACTTAGGGAACATGCTTAGGGGAAGGAATTAAAACTTCTGTTTTGACCATGTTAAGTTTGAGACGCCTTTTATTCTTCTAAAAGGAGACGTTCAGTAGGAACCTGGACATGGATGTTTGTTACACAGCACTGAAATCAGGGCTGGAGCCATGAATGTTAAAGTGGTTGAGTACTTGTGGTAGCTGTATAGACTTAGAATCTCAGTTTTTAACTGGTGAGTTTAGTCCATTTATATTTATTGCCATTTCTGATACATTTGGATTTATTTGTACCCACTCATTTTGAGCCATTTTTTGTTTCTTTGTTTTTGTGAGGAAGATTGTCACTGAGCTAACATCTGTGCCAATCTTACTCTATGTTCTTTTTTTTTTTTTGAGGAAGATTAGCCCTGAGCTAACTACAGCCAATCCTCCTCTTTTTGCTGAGGAAGACTGGCCTTGAGCTCACATCCATGCCTATCTTCCTCCACTTTATATGTGGGACGCTGGTGAGTTTAGTCCATTTATATTTATTGCCATTTCTGATACATTTGGATTTATTTGTACCCACTCATTTTGAGCCATTTTTTGTTTCTTTGTTTTTGTGAGGAAGATTGTCACTGAGCTAACATCTGTGCCAATCTTACTCTATGTTCTTTTTTTTTTTTTGAGGAAGATTAGCCCTGAGCTAACTACAGCCAATCCTCCTCTTTTTTGCTGAGGAAGACTGGCCTTGAGCTCACATCCATGCCTATCTTCCTCCACTTTATATGTGGGACGCTTACCACAGCATGGCTTGCCATGCTGTGCCATGTCTGTACCCGGGATCCGAACTGGCAAACCCCGGACCACTGAGAATGTACAAACTTAACTGCTGCACCACCAGGCCAGCCGCACCCCCCCCCCCACCTTTTTTTTCTATGTGGGATGCTACTACAGCATGGCCTGATGAGCAGTGCTAGGTCTGTGGCCGGGATCTGAACCCCTGAACCCTGGGCCACTGAAGTGGATCACGCTAACTTAACCACTATGCCATCGGGCTGGCCCCTTGGTTTTACTGTACCCTTTCTTTACTCCCTTTTTCTCTTTTTTTCTGTAGGGTTCATTTTATTCCCACCTTGCCCTGTTACTGGCTGTAAAATCATGTTTTATTATATTTTATTTTTATACTTTTAATGATTACCTCTAAAGTTTTATTGTGGCAGAATATACAAGACATAAATTTACCATTTTAGCCATTTTTAAGTGTACAGTTCAGCAGCATTAAGTATATTCACATAGTTGTGCAGCCATCACCCCTATCTATTTCCAGAACTTCTTCGTCATCCCAAACAGAAACTGCAGCCGTTAAGCAATAACTCCTCACGCCCTCTGCCTGTCAGCCCCTGGTGACCACTATTCTGTTTTCTGTCTTTATGAATTTGATGATTCCAGGTACCTCATATAAGTGGAATCACACAATACTTGTGTTTTTCTGTCTGGCGTATTTTGCTTAACATAATGTTTTCAAGGTTTATCCATGTTAAACCGTATATCAGAATTTCATTCCTTTTTATAGCTGAATATGTATATACGACATTTTGTTTATCCATTCATCTGTGGTTGGAAACTTGGGTGATTTCCACCTTTTGACTGTTATGAATAGTGCTGCAATGAACATTGGTGTACAAGTATCTGTTCAAGGCCTGCTTTCAATTCTTTTGAGTATATACCTGGAATGGAATGGCTAGATATATGGTAATTCTATTTTTAATTTTTCGAGGAATCATCAATCTGTTTTTTGCAGTAGCTGCACCATATTACGTTCTTAACAACCGTGCACAAAGGTTCCAATCTTTCCACATTCTCACCAACATTCATAGTTTTTTTTTTTGATAATAGCCAGCTTAATGGATGTGAAGTGGTATCTCATTGCAATTTTGCTTTGCATTTCCCTAACCGCTAGTGATATTGAACATCTTTTCATGTGTTTATTGGCCGTTTGTATATCTTCTTTGGAGAAATATCTATTCAAGTTCTTTGCCCATTTTTGAACTGGATTATTATTTTTTTTTTATTGTTGAGTTGTATGTGTTCTTTATATATCGTGGATATTAATCCCTTATCAGATATACGATTTGAAAATATTTCCTCCTGTTCTGTGGGTTTTCTTTTCACTCTCTTGATAGTGTTCTTTAGTGTACAAAGTTTTTTTTATTTTGATGAAATACATTTTGTCTATTTTTTCTTTTGTTGCTTGTGCTTTCAGTGTCATATACAATAAATCATTGCTAAATCCAATATCATGAAGATTCCCCCTATATTTTTTCTAAGAATTTTATATGTTTGCCTTTTATATTTAGGTCTTTGATCCATTTTGAGTTAATTTTTATATATGGTATAAGGTAAGTGATTAGTCTTAAATTTTAACATGAATTGTTGACAAAGCAAAATCTAAATAATTATTTCTAAAGAAATTAAATTGCTACTTAGAATGTTTTAATCATGCCATTTTATCTTATTTTTGTCCAATATGTTAGCTCCACCTTGGTTTTACACATCTGAATTAGAACTTATAATTGTTTTCTATATTGTCCTCATTTCTTACATTACTCAACCTTATCAACTTCTTTGTTCACTATTGCTTGCTGAAGCAAATTACTCTTTCCTTTTGGGTTCAGTTAATTATAATTCCAGAATTATAATTTTAAATAGTTCCCTCAGAGAGGCTTAATAATGGTAAACTCCTATAAATTTATTTACGTTGTCCTTACTCTTGAATGATATTTAAGCTAGATATACAATTTTAGATTGATATTTTTCCTCAGCTCATTGAAACTGGTTTTCTATTGCCTTCTGGCTTCTAATGCTGCTTTCGTGAAGTCATTCTAATTGACATTCCTTTGTAGGTGATGCATCTTTTTCTATAGCTGCTTTTAGGATCTTCTTTTTCTCTTTGGTGATCTGAAGTTTCACTATGATGTGTCTAATTGTGGATTTATTTTTATTTATCTTACTTGGAACTTGTGATTTCTGAATCTGAGAATTCATGTCTTTAATTACTTCAGGAAAGTTTTGAGACCTTCTTAGTCTACCCTCCATGCTTCTTAGCCCCTCTTTCCTATTTTCCAGCTCTTTATCTCTCAGTGCTACTTTCTGAGTAATTTCCTTTGATTTATCTTCCAGTTCAGTAATTATCTCTTCAACTGTACCCAATTCAGTTGAGAGGTTTTCATTTTATTTCATTTCATTTTAATGACATGGTTTTAATTTCTAGAAGTTCTATTTCAGTCTTTTTCAAATATATCCATTTTTTTATTGAGAAGAGTCTTGTTTATTTTTTTCAGTTTCAGTTTCTCTACTCATATTCTTTTACTCATATTGAGGTCATAATAGTTTATAACATTGTGAAATTTCAGTTGTACATTATTATTTGTCAGTCAGCATGTATACATGCCCCTTATGCCCACCCCGCAACCCCCTTCCCCTCTGGTAACCACCAATCTGTTCTCTGTATCTATGTGTTTCTTTATCTTCCACATATGAGTGAAATCATACAATGTTTGTCTTTCTCTATCTGCCTTATTTCACTTAAAATAATGCACTCAAGGTCCATCCATGTTGTTGCAAATGGGACAATTTTGTCTTTTTATGGCTGAATAGTATTCCATTGTGTGTGTGTGTATATATATATATATGCATGCCACATCTTCATTATCCATTCATCGGTCGGTGGGCACTTGTGTTGCTTTCACATCTTGGCTGTTGTGAATAGCGCTGCAATGAACATAGGAGTGAATATGTCTCTTTGAATTGTTGATTTCAAGTTCTGGGGATAAATACCCAGTAGTGGGATAACTGGATTGTATGGTATTTCTACTTTTAGCTTTTTGAGAAATCTCCATACTGTTTTCCATAGTGACTGAATCAATTTGCATTCCCACCAACAGTGTATGAAGGTTCTCTTTTCTTCACACCCTCTCCAACATTTGTTATTTTTGTCTTGGTGATTATAGCCATTCTAACATGTGTAAGGTGACATCTCATTGTAGTTTTGATTTGCGTTTCCCTGATGATTAGTGATAGTGAACATCTTTTCATGTGCCTGTTGGCCATCTGTATGTCTTCTTTGGGAAAATGTCTGTTCATATCCTCTGCCCATTTTTTGATCAGGTTGTTTGTTTTTCTGTTGTTGAGTTGTGTGTGTTCTTTATGTATTTTGGAGATTAATCCCTTGTCAGATATATGATTTGCAAGTATTTTCTCCAAGTTTTTGGGTTGTCTTCTCATTTTGTTCCTGGTTTCCTTTGCCTTGCAGAAGCTCTTTAGTCTGATGAAGTCCCATTTGTTCACT